GGGGGGGGGGGGGGTCTGCAGAGGTCAGTATCTAGAGTTTATTATACACTGTTTAATGAAACATGAGCCAAACATCTGTAGACAAAAGTTGTTATTAGGCTCATTATTTCCATGTTGTCATACGTTACAGTATAAAACCTGTGAGTGTGACCCCCCCATGGGGCAGGGGGGGTTCTGAACGCGGCTATAACTCAGATTCAAGCAGCCGTGGGGATTAATTCATGCTTTTCCCATTTATTTTTTATCTAATAAGATGACTCGGCAGGTTCCACACACTCGCAGTCCCACGGGAGACTCACTTAACCCTAATAATTAGAGTGATAAAGGCAGTGTGGTAGGTAAGAGGAGGGTTCGGGGGGGCTTTCAATTAGTTGTCAAGGGCTACTTGGAGGCCCCCTGACGCAGCCAGAGAGCAGCCAGGGATTCAATTCATCATCCTGCCTCTGCCAAACGCTAAGGGCCTTTTCATTATCCGACCACTGAGTCCCACTGTCGGCTCCCTCAGTATAAACCTGAGTGATGGCGTGCGCGGTGGTGGGCTGTGGGTGTGGACGGCGATGGAGGGGTGGGGCCGGGCCCTCGTCGTAAATGTCATCCCCATTGGACCGTTGCAGGTCCCGGCTCCGAAATAATAGGCCCTGTGACCTCTCTGTTGTCTATAATTAACCTCTAACCCCCCCCAACACCACCAGCCCTCCCTCCCTCCACCCATCCCCAGACAGCAGTGGTGTGGGAGATGCTGCTGTTTGCCAAACCTCGTCCAGCCGCCGGCGCTCTCTCTCTCTCTGTCTGTCTCTGGCTCGCTGCAGGCGGAGGCGGAGGTTGGGAAAGGGTGTGGAAGCAACAAAGGAAAATGGCTGCTGCTGTTGTGTTCCTGTGATTGTGTCACATGTTTCAGACGACCTGAGCACAAACTAACTACGTATAGAAGGTGAGACACATGCACAGGTCAGATTTTGGGATATTTTGCCTTTATAACATTCAGAGGAGTGGAAAGAAAACGCACAAAATGCACATTCAGGTGTTTATTTTACTACATTTTAGACATTTGTGATTTTTAAACACTATAACTGGTCAAAGGGAGGACTCCAGTGTTTCTAAAAGCCTTAATTACAGCATTGGCATGTGTGTTCAGTTTTATAACACACACACTGTTACACATAATACTCAGAAAATTTAGTTAAGAAAGAAAAAAATACAAAAAAAATTTATGTGATTATTTTACTACATTTTGTCTGTTTACGACTGCAGATTTCACCCAACGTTAGCATTAGACGACGCCTCATTTGCATATTTAAACATAACATTTCAGAAAACTTGTAATACAAAAAATAATTGTCTTAATGTGAATAATCAACTGAGGAAGTTTCATGCCGATATCTGTTAGTTAATTTTTTTAACCCTATTCACCTGTAGTGAATTTCACATTTAAAATCTTTAAAGGCCGTTTTCTCCGAAATTAGTTTTTTTCTCGTATTGGGAGAAAGAAGTCTCCACTTCAGCAGCTCTTACAGACACCAAACCTTCCAGTTTTATTCCTCTCTTCATTCTGAAGGTTTGTACTGAGGGGTTTGTTCATAAATTATTCACAGTCTGATTTATAGCAGATTTTAATCCTATAAACATGGTGAAAATTAATGTTTTTTTAGGAGCGTTGGCAGTAATTTGCACGTTTAAACATAAAATGTCAGAAAACTTGTAATATAAAAAATAATTGTCTTAATGTGAGTAATCAACTGGGGAAATTTAATGGTGATATCTGTTAGGTACATTTTTTACCCTATTCACCTGTAGTGAATTTCACAATAAAAGGGAGTTTTCTCAAAGCGAGTTTTTTCTCATATTGGGAGCCAGAAATCTCCACTTCAGTAAACCTTCCAGTTTTATTCCTCTCTTTAGTCTGAAGGTTTTTACAGAGGGGTTTGTTCATAAATCCTTCACAGCCTGATTTATATCACATTTTATCCCTAAAAACATGGCGAGAATTGATGTTTTTATGACGCTTGACGGTATTTTCTGATATCTGCAGTCATAAAAAGAGATATCTAAAAATCCCCTTCATTAAGAACTTTTAACTTTAATGTGTCAACAGAACAAAACAACTCATTTCATTCAGATTTTATTGTGAATCTGAATCCTGAGGCCTGAATTTAATCCAACCCAAAATCCAAAATAAAGACTTATTTCTGATTCCTGCGTACAGTTTTATTGTGCGTACACCCACAGTGAGTGTTTGACCACCCCCCGTCTGCTCGACATGCTCTGGGCGGGAGGGGGGGGGGGCGAACCAACCAGGGTGTTTTGTACACAAACAGGAAACAACCGTTGAGAACACTGCCGGCCTCCCCTGTCAGGCGTGACTTGGACATTAACCATCCAACAAGGAAACATTCCACGAGCAAGCTAAATATTCGGCGGCGACGCTATAACAACCCCCCCCACACACACACACACACACACACACACACACACACCTCCACCAACAGGAAGGCAGATGATCTCTAATGTCTGCAGCTGACACCTGTACATAATGACATTTACAAACACAATTGCAGGAGAAGAATTGCACGAGGAGGAAATGAGACGTAGAGCGAGGGAGGCTTCTTCTCTCGTCTGCCGGCGCCGGGACTTCATTTGTGGACGCATCATTGTCTCTCTGCAAATTCTTGGGACCGTGAGGAGGAAATGCAAATGCCCCTGTTGCTGGCAGAAGCTACGCCAGCATGTGTGTGGCATATTGAATGATAATGACAAAGCGGGCTGCATCCCCTGTGAGCACGCCTGCGGAACAATGATTACAGATTGGCCGGTGTGTCCCTCAGCATCACAAGGGGCTCTGATTCTAATGCTAATCAGAGCTGCTGCCCATTGAAATATATCTGTACTGGCAAGGCGGGAAGGAATAAGATCCCAGTTAGGCTGTAATTGTGCAGTGAAGTTCCTGTTTTATTCGGATATTTCAGCCCACAGTGGCTTAACCTATTGCACCACCTGCTGGCCTCCAGCTGGTACCAGAGCTTGTTGTGGTTTCTTTTTTTTCATCCTCTGGCACTTTGGGGCAATTATCCGCCGCCGGGCGTAAAATGTTGATGTATGAGCTTGACTGTATTCTGCGTTATTCAATTTGTTATTTGAGGTGGAGAGCCTGTTATCCTCCTAGTTAGCCGGATCATGCAGGCACGAGCTAATCCAGTCTCATCCAGTGGGATTCATCCCTTATTCAGGTTTTCACCCCCTCCTCCCCCCCTCCGATCCTGCATCAGTCACACCCTCTCCCCCGCCGCCTCCTCCTCCTCCTCTGCGAATGTACTTTATTTTCATTCCGAGGAGAGAAACAAGAAGGAGAGCCGAGGTAAAGTGATGCTCAGCTGCACACTCAATGTAGGTTAATGGAAGGGAGGAGAGTCTGAGCTCCGCCGGCCTCCCATTGGTTGGCCGGCGACGTGCAGCTTCTCCGCAGCACAACCTGTCACTGTTAATCAGGGCCATCTCTTAACAGCCAGCCAGGGCTATCGGAGAGGTGAGCCCATTGCTATTCAGGATGAAACAGATGATAAATCATTTGTACATAATTAGTGCTCAGCAAGGTTACAACTGACACGTATTTTCATCTTAATTAGGAGGGAAATTTGTTCCATTAATTTAATTTGGTGTGCATGAGCAGCTCTGCACCTAACTAAGTTAATCTTACACCTGTCAGGGTGGGAATGGAGTTGGGCCTCGGATTACAGCGGAAAATGAGAAAGAGTCCTCTATCAGATTGTTTCCAGCACACACCTGCAAGACAATTGGACTGTAGAGAGGCAGCAGGGGCAAATACAGCCGCAGCTCTGAGCCTCCACTGCTGATAGGGGGTATTTAAATCCCCTCTATCTGTTAGGAATGACTCTGCATGATGATAAATACAGTAAGATAACATCTTCCAGCTTTATCACGCAGCAGGAACTGATCAGGGGACAGAAAACAAGCCGGTGTGGACCTTTTTCACAGCAGCCTTTCTGACATTAAATATATGGAGGCTGCTGAGGCTCTAAATCAGTGTGAATCTCTGGTGGGGGGCAGCAAAAGTGGATGCCCCTATGGTAGAGAAAACATGATCAAGTGCCCTCTCAGGTGCCCTTCAGTGGAAAAAACATGACAAGTGCCCTTTAAGGTTTAAGGTATGATTAAATGCCCTCTAGGGTGCCCTTCTAGTGGAGAAAACGTCATGAAGTGCCCTTTAAGGTGCTCTTCCAGTGGATAAAACATAACAAGTGCCCTCTCAGGTGCCCTTCCAGTGGATAAAACATGATTAAATACCCT